GGGTAGCCTGCCTAAGATGTTCAAACCACTGTAAATCAACGTGGTTGACAGTCCCTGAGAGAAGAAGACACCTGGGGTAAGCATCATTGAGGTTCAGCTCTCCCAAGAAAGCTGTGCACCTACCTGCAGGGCTCACAGCTGGCAAATCAGGAAGTTCTGTCATTTACAAATTTTTTGACATTAAATTTTATATTCTGCTGTGAACTACATGTTTTCAAATGTTGTAACCTGTGTATTAATTCCGTTTATTTAGGATTTCTAGAGTACACAATCATAAAGATGAGCCTAATGAATCAAAAAGATCAAGTTCAAATGCTGTCCTTGTTTAGTAATTAGCACAGAAAATCAACATAAAATGTACAATTTAGTAAGCATGCTTTCCTAAACAGAGTATAAACCAACCCTCCTACTAAATGTCACGCATATTAATAATGACTCCTACAATAATGGAGAAATAACTCTACCTTACAAAGAACTGAAGCAAGTAAATATTGTCTCACCCACCTATCCCCAACACCACTTCTAACTGATAGACACGAAGTATATTCTCTCAAAATATACCTCAGCCTTCAGAGGAGATTCCTTCCCAACTACCCAATCTTCCGCTGGTCTTAGGGACCCATCCCACCACATCCTCTAGGACAAGGGATGTTCTAGGCTTAAATCAGGTGTCACTAAGAACTGGAATGTAAGCTCTGTGAGGACAGGGCTCTTGGATGATCTGATATACTGGCATGTTTCCGGCATGCGGCAGCTACCACCTAACAGGTCTTCAGAAAGTTCTTATTAAGGGGGAAAGGATGTGGCAGCCCAGGGATGTGAAGTCAGGCTTTCTGAGTCCCAAAGTCTACTCTTCTTTTTTTTCTACCAGACTTTAACAGGAAGCATCATGCTTTCTGGTTGACTCATCTAAAAGAAACTTTCCTGCCAATAAAGCTGAAGAGAAGGAAAGGAACATTCGAAAGTAGAGTCACAAGATCTTGGACCCACCTACAGCTAGACACAGAGTAACCAAAGTAAACAAATAACAGCAATGACTTTAAAAAAAAATGACACTGCATGAAAACTCTTTCCAAGGGGGATGGTTAACCGTAACTATTTGCCCCCAAGAGACATGAAATTTTTCACTGTGAGCTAAAATGTTTCAAGATCCTGAAAAAAATTAAAAAGGTCCTGATTCTATATGGGTTACCTATAAATACATGTGTTCTGGATATTAGATAAAATTTCATTTAATCAGTCTAGGAAAGAAGTTTTGGTTGCAAAAAGGTCTTTTTTATCGAAGACAGGGGTGTTTCTCCCTCTTTTCTTTTCTCCCTCTTCTTCCAATGTAAAAGAATTAGACATTTTTGTGCTCCAGAATGGGGAAAGTGTAGAGGTTACTGCCACCAAAGCCAGTTCTTCTGGACCCAGTGGCAGATAGGTTTTGATATTTTGTTATTTTCTTTTCATTCACCACCACACAAATAATATTAATTACAACTAGGTAATACCAGGAGACAGTAGGAGAGATGATAATAAAATGTCCAGGGGTCTGACAACTGACCGCTGCTTGCCCTCACTACACTGCTCTCTCTCATTATGAAAACAAATTAAACGTCCCATTTCTAAAGGCTGATACCGATGGAAATTCACATTACAATGGCAGTATTATCCTTCTTAATTATTAAGAATCTTCTTTTTTAAACACTTACGCCATGAGTACCTGCAAACATGGGAACAATATGTCTTTTGAACTCAGGTGTGCACTAAGTAGCTTCTCAGCCACTAATCCCCACCTTTTTATCTCAGTCACTTGGTCAAAAGAATCGACACAGCCTTCCTGGACTGTGGGGTGACATGAACAAATCCTGGCAGATGGGAAAAGCACAGAATGCAGTTACACGGGTTCTCTCTTCCACCTCTATTAAAGCCCCATGGCACACTTATTCTGTGAGGGGAATTTTGTGAGGGAATAACAGTTTTCACTCCATCTATTAAAAAAAACTGCAGTACAATCCCTAAAACTAGTTTCCTAGATCAATGAATTTAAATATCACTGTATTTCTTTTCACACTTCAGAACTTTTTTTTGTCTAAATCAATATAATGCATTTCTTTATTTCAGTTAAACTCAATGTATTTCAGAAGGTTTCTGTTTCTGTAGCAATTCTAACAATTATCTTCAGAAACAGGTCTTTTCAGACACCAGTCATAGATGCATCTGGTTTCCTACTGCAGATTTTTTAAAGTCCAGGTTCTGTGGACATAACTTTTAAATATAAAGAGTCAGTAATGATAAATGTTATATAGCTACCACTGAAACAATTGCTCTATAAAATGATGATTACAAAGAATAATCCTGTATTTTAATAATAATACTAACTGCTGATATATAATTAGATTACAAATCAAACACTGTTACAAACAGTGTGATTTCGCTTTTTGGAAATTTTTCACAACATACTGATTTGAAATTAAAATAAAAAGCCATTTATGGGGGGCACCTGGCTGGCTCAGCTACAAGAGCATATGACTCTTGGTCTCAGGGTTGTGAATTCAAGCCCCATATTGGGTATAGAGATTACATTTAAAAAAAAAAACAAAAAACAAAAAAAAAAACACCACAATGGGGAAAAAAAAGGCTGCAGGGAATCAGCAAAGTTGTAATTACCATGTTTCAGTGATGGAACTATGAATATTCTTTCTATTTCCATTTTTAAATATGTAATCTTAAGTTATTTCTATAATTATAAAGAAGCAAAATACATAAATCTAAAGAATTTTAGTGGTAATTAAGTGAGATTCAGTGACAGAACAAAGAGGGTGCTAGACTAAATGGGGAGGGGGGGGTGTTATTTGCCAAAGCCACAGTTGCATATCATCACTGAAAATCGTCTTCCCCATCAGCAGCACTGGGCACGCTCCCTTAGAGTCTCCCCTACATTCTAACATACACCGAGCTCTTCACTGCACACAGTGGAGCTCAGGAAACTGTTACAATAACGTACACAGAGAAGAGGCTTCGCCAGACTAAAGAAATTATCCTATTCCAGTAACTGAACTCCTAGAGATGAAATTTAAGATGAATCCTATGCTTTTGCCATATTCCATCCTCAAACAGAATTCTAACGAGTTTCCTGTTTCCCTAACACAGCAGGACTATGTTTATGGAGAAAGTTGGTCTCACAAGAACAGATAACTCAGGAGTCCATATTCATGTCATTCCTTAAACCAAGAGAAATCAAAAAGTAAACAGACAAATGTGAAAACAAACTAAACTTCTCAAGCATTCAGGTTCTGTTTAACATGAGAATGTTTGTTCAAAGATTATTAAATGTGCTATTGGGGCAAGGATTTGACAGCAGAAAACAAGTTCATTACACTGAGAATTCAGTATTAAAAGCTGTTGATGGCAGGGCACCTGGCTGGCTCAGTCGGTAGAGTGTATGACTCCTGATCTCAGGTTGGAAGTTTGAGCCCCATGCTGGATACAGCCACTACGTTTTTAAAAAAAAAAAACTAAAAAAAAAAATCTTTAAAAAAAACAAAAGTTGTCAACATTACTGTTGTATATCAAATAAGGAAAAACCCAATAAATCTTATTCCAGATGTCAATTATTCATATTACTTTTCTATGAGTGTACTCTGTTATATTATTAAGATTTGTTTTTTGGTTTTTTGTTTTTTAATTAACAAAGTCTTTTTTAAAAGAGGATTCCTGGGACGCCTGAGTGGCTCAGTCAGTTAAGCATCTGCCTTTGGATCAGGCCATGATCTCAGGGTCCTGGGATCAAGTCCCACATCTGGCTCCCTGCTCAGCCAGGAGGCTGCTGCTTCTCCCTCTCTCTCTCTCTGTCAAAAAATTAATAACGTCTTTTTAAAAAAATAAAATAAAAAATAAATAAAAGAGAATTCCTGAGCATACTGAGCAAAGCCCTAGAAGAATGGCGGAAAGGAGGAAGTGCCACCACGTAGCCAACAGTGACTGAATGCCAACGACCTTTGCGCATTTTGTGAATAAGACCAGTAACAGGCAGCAAGTCTCCCAACTTCACGAGACCAAGAGCAGGAAGATTCTTTCCTTCAGTCAGTCACCGAACACTGAGTGCCTACTGGATGTCAGGCATCACGGGAAAGGTTGGAGAAACTCGGTCAGCTTAAAAAAAGACTGAAAAGTGGTCACTGTGAAGTTAGTGATGTAAGTAGAAAGGTGGCCTTTATCATAAAATTAGGTAAGTGAAAGTAAAATCATAACGCTGTGGCTGCTGAGAGGGCAGATGACCGGCAAGCACAGTGGGCACAGGGAACCGAGGCATGGGAGGATGGGAAGACACGCGGAGTGGTCAGCGAGGCTTTACGGAGCGGGTAACACTGGAGGGTGACCCGGGGGATGAATATAAGGGAAGGGGCACGTTCCACAAACAGGCATCTGTGTAGTGGGGAGATGATAACGAGTTCGGTGGGATGGGAAAATTACAATCATATGGCAAGAAATGGTGCTGGACAGGCAGACAAAGGCCAGGTATCAGGAAGGGACTTAAATTCCGTATGGCTTTTTATTGCGTTTGGTATTTTTTTTTTTCTTAAGGAGAGAATCAAGAATATATTTTTGTGGGCGCCTGGGTGGCTCAGCTGGTTGAGCGACTGCCTTTCGGCTCAGGTCATGGTCCCAGGGTCCTGGGATCGAGTCGCGCATCGGGCTCCCTGCTCCATGGGGAGTCTGCTCCCTCTGACCTTCTCCCCTTTCATGCTCTCTCTCACTGTCTCTCTCTCTCAAATAAATAAATAAAATCTTTTAAAAATATATATATATATATATATATATATATTTGTGCCAAGATGAAAAAGTTACAGAGACGTGACGAAATTTCAGCAGCAACGGGGCCAGTATGTTGAGGAGAGACTGTCGGAAGCGTAACATAGCTTGTAAGTGACACAGAAAGAGCAAATCAAATGTGGACCGAGGCCGTGTTTTGACAGCCCAAGATGTTCTTTTGTCCCCTTCGGGTACGAGCTTACCCCTATGATGCTCAGTCCTTTAAGGTAGTCCTGCCGAGGCTGGGCTTGAGGAACACATCCAGCTAGCACTATCTTCTTGTTCTCCTCTTGAGCTTTTCTGAAAGATTGAAGAGAAAACAGTGTGATTCTTTTGCTCACAAGTATACCCTTGGAAACTGATGTTAGTGCGTACAAGTTGTCCAAATCCTAAGAAGACCTTCCACCATGAAACTGGATTTTCTTACAACTGCACAAAGAAAACATATTATAATAAGACCCCTGCACTATGCCTCTACTGGTCATACCACCAGAGAATACAACAGCCATCCAACCTGATCATGTCTTTTGTTATCAGCCCATTATAAAACCAAAGAACTTACTCATACAGAACTCTCAAGGACATAAGTCATGCTTAAAAGCTACTTTCTATTGAAGGACATCTCAGCTCCTTCCATAGTTTGGCTATGGAGGATAAAGAAGATGTGGTTCATGCATACAGGAGAATATTACCCAATCGTCAGAACGAATGCCCACCGTTTGCATCGACAAGAATGGAACTGGAGGGGATTATGCTGAGCGAAACAAGTTGGGCAGAGAATGACAAGTATCATATGGTTTCACTCATATGTGGAACATAAGGAATAACGTGGAGGACCACGGGGGAAGGTAGGGAAACTGAATGGGAAGAAATCAGAGAGGGAGAGAAACCATGAGAGGCTCTGGACTCCGGGAAACAAACTTGGGGTTACAGAAGGGAGGGGAGTGGGAGGATGGGGTAACCGGGTGACGGGTACTAAGGAGGGCATGTGTGGTGATGAGCACTGGGTGTTATACGCAACGAATGAATCACTGAACACTACATCAGAAACTAATGATGTACTATACGTTGGCTAACTGAACATAATTTTTTAAAAAGCCACTTTCTAGACAGACAAGTTACCCATTCAAATAAGTTATTTTAAATAGTAATGAAAATGTACCTAAAACTCATTCTATGACTTCCCAGTGCTTTGACCAACATAAAAGTAAATATATACTTTTAAACACTGAACAGAAGTTTAAAAAATAGAAGCCCATTTTAAAATGAAATTCTGAAGTCTTCCATTCTTTCTCAAGTATGTGGGCTTTGGGGTACAGTGTTTTGTTTCCTTTGTTTGTTTCTCTGGATGCTCGGTTCTAGGCTTTATGCACCATACTCTGTCCTGGCTCCACCGACCATCTTTACCTTTCTAAAACCAACTGAAGTTAAGGGTATCAGCAGCCCAGTTTTGGGACATGTAACTCTTAGAACACACCACCATGAAGTGAAAAGTTTCTACCCCTGGCACGCTCTTGTTTTTTTCAACCTTTTCAAGAGTACAAACTCAGAACTGGAGGAAAAAAAAAAAAAAAAAACCCTGGGATTAACAGAACTAGCTATTTGTGATCGACAGCCACATCAAAACCTTCTGGAAAGTATGCAGAGAGCAATTAAACAGTAAGTAGGGAATAACACATTATTTTAATATCATCTGTGTTTCATTTCAAAACTTATTAGAGAGCTTTGGTATAATTCTTCCATTTGGAATCAGGGGGAAAAAAGAAACTTGTTAATGGAATAAAAAAAAAATCTGAGTTTGATAGATCGCTTTACACATCCAAGAGAATTACTGCCTGGCTCTACCACCTGGTTTTACTTTTTTATCCGTGCCATGCACATCACTACACACAAACACCTTTCTTCTAGTAAATGTGAAACACCTTATCAAACAACAACAGATTTTTTCCACTTACAATAACAATCTATATGAGGAAGTAACATCTGGTTTCCTCAAGACTTTTAACTATAACACCTAGAATCAGAGCAAACATCCAAGGGAGTCTCTAAGGTCACCAAGAGTTACATGCAAATTAAAAGGCCTCCCTCCCATAATGTGACTCAATTACTTAATTATTAAGCACACCGAAGACATGATATTGAGAGCTGAAGGGAACACAGTAAGGAAGAAGACACGCACTTTGTGCTCTACAAGCTCATGGTTTGTAATGGATGAGATGTAAAAGAACATCAACAACACAGCAGCAAATACAATGCCCCTTGTGACAGAAAGCTGCACAGGCGACAAACATCATGGAGAAGGAAGGAATATGCAGACAGAAAAAAGACAGTACAAGGATCCCAAATAAACTCCTGCAGTAGTAGGAGAAGGTGGGACAGACAGCAGAGAAAGCAGCAGGCAGCTGTTCCAGCATGGACAAAGACAAGAAGGTCAAAAGTAGGAGGAAAGTATTATACTCCAGAATTCCTATTTTAGGGAAACTAGTAAAGCCTCTATTATGGAAGGAGACTTAAGAGGCTGGAGAGTTTCTGTTTAAGTTACTGGGCAATGGGGAAGTGTCTGATGGCAGCACGGACACAGAGTGGAACCAAACTTTAAGAATACGACACTGCTGGCAAGATATAAAAGGAAACACAAAGGGGAAAGAAACAAAGAGATGAGGAAATTCACAGAATGCTCTAGGCAGGGATGTGGCGACTGAAGATATGTGGAAGATCCAAAAAAGGAAAGATTAAAGGAAAGGAAATTAGTTCTCTTGCTAGAATATACTTGAGGAAAACCCCAAGGAAGAATCAAAAGTCTAAAAGGCATCAGCAAACATCTTCTATAAAGAGCTACATGGTAAATAGTTTAGGCTTTGCTACTCACAGGTCCTCTGTTGGAAAAGTCTTAACTCTGCCACCTTAATGCAAAACAAACCATACATAATGTGTGTGTGTGTGTGTGTGTGTGTGTGTGTTCCAATGAAGCTTCATTTACAAAAATAGACAGCAGGTCAGATTTGGCTCAAAGCAGCAGCTGGCTGAGTCCTGAGATGGAAGGCAACAAATTCACAAAGGCCACACTAAATCCAAGGTTCCACTAATGCCCATCCAGTTTCTGGAAATTCAAGTCACCAGCTGAAAACGAAGCTGGGGGAGATTTTCACAACGCAGTGTAACGTGACCACTGAAACAGTGGATAGAACAGACACTAAAGGTGTGGAGGGAATCCGACTGACTACAAAACGTTAAGCCTCTTTAGAGATGTAGAAACACTTACACAGAATAAAAATATTAGTGTGGAAAACGAGAAGGAGATAATATCACCACTGATAACCGCACTTCAACAACAGCAGCAATCATGGCTAACACTTAAAAGGCACTTCGTCAAGTCGACCGTTACACCGTTCGCTGTATTTGTAAACGGTGCAGCTGATTCGTGTGACAGTCCAGGGAAGATCTTCTCGTGACATTATAAACACTAAATCAGGTCATAAAACAGTCCAAGGCTGATTTTAAGGGAGTAAGCAGAACACCAGAAAATTAAGAGGGAAAGTTCAAAATAGAGATGCTTGCGTAAGGAGTTTAGTTAGAATACTACTTCATGCTCTTACAGAATTTGGATGTAAAATGCTAGGGTACACCAGAACTATAATCAAAGCAAAAATCATAGCCCTGTTACGGAATATTAATGTCACACTTTATACAGGACCAAATAAAGTAGCAAAAGTTTCAACACAATTTCTCTGAGTCCTCTTGTTCTAAATATTCCCTTTTTACATCCTATTCTTTTTGTTTGGTGAGCTTTGTTCAGGTTAATAAAAGCCTGTAAAACAATTTCTTTAGAAACGAATCCAGCACAGACACATTTTTAAAAGATTTTATCCTTCAAAATATGAATGTTGGTAACAAAAATACCTCAAGAAACTTTAAAGTAGCATGAATTTCTGTGTCATTTTAAATAGCCTTGAAATGTTAATTAAAACAAAAATTACACGTAAAGTTAATTCAACATAATCATTCTTATTTTCTTGAAATACACTTCTAAATTAGAGACATACCATTGACTAGAGCACTAACTTGAGCGATGCAAAAAACAAAGAAATCTTTTCCTCTTTTCTGCCAACTACTAAATACAAGAAATAATTTGTACAGAATCTTAAAATTCACAAAAGCATAGAAAATAAATGTGGTATAATATTATTTGCTTTATTTCATAAAAGAGAAAGTTGAGGAGGCACCTGGGTGGCTCGGTTCAGCATCTGCCTTCAGTCATGATTTCAGGGTCCTGAAGGAGTGCCACATAGGGCTCCCTACTCGGGGGTTGGGGGAAGGTCTGTTTCTCCCTCTCCCTCTGATCCTCCCCATCCCATTTATACTCTCTCTTTCTGTCTCTCCCTCTCACTCTCAAATAAATAAATAAAATCTTTAAAAAAAAAAAAGGGAGACAGAAAATTACTATGATTCAAGAAGATAGTGAATCTTAGGGCCACAATAACTGTGGCCCTAAGTCCACACTTTGAGTTAGTACTGGAGCTGGGATGGGCGCCCAATATTCTCTGTTCCTTGAAGATCAGATCTCAGGACATAAACTTGGGTTTTGATCATGTAATAAATATTAGAGCAAACATTTCTTGACTGAACCCCAAAGAAATTTACAGGATTATAAGAGATCAAACGTCTTCAAAGTAGAAACACAGTATTTGATAGTTCACGTTTTCCTGAGTTTTGTGCACCATCTAATAGTGGAATAATAAACTCCTGTATACATCAAGGAAAAAAACAGTTCTCTACAAGCAGTGGGTTGAGAGGAAATGCAGCTTCTCTCTCCATGTTCTTTTCTCCTATTCCTAACATCCTTCCTGCAACGTGATGCTTAATCAATACAAAAACACTCATAATGATGACTAGGTCTTCACCCAAAGTCTTTTTTCATGAAAAAGTATTTCTTAAATATGTATCTGACTTTTACATTTCGGGGGCGGGGGTGGTAGGGGCAGAAAGAGAAGGGGAGGGAGAGGGAAAATCTTAAGCAGGCTCCACGCCCAGCACAGAGCCAAACACAGGGTTCAAGCTCAGGATCTTGAGATCATGATCTGAGCCGAAATTAAGAGCTGGACTTAAGCGACTGAGCCACCCAGGCGCCCTAAATTTTTACATTTCTAAATGCATACTGATATAATCATGAAAACTCCTCCTCACAAGAGCACTAAAAAGAGTCACATTCACCTGTTTCTGTACACAGCAAGCGCAGTCTTCACTACTCTAGAGGTGAGTCTTCTCTGCACTTAAATATTCAAGGAAGAGAGGATCTACTG